ACCGTGTTTCAACTTCTTTCACATTCTGATCTTTTACTCTCCTCCTCCTCCCTTTTTTAATCATTCTCCTTCTAATTTTATCAGGACCCCAAATCCGCGTTTCAATTTTATTAATCATTAATCCTCTTCCACTCAGAAAACGGCACGAAACTGCGCAGCAAAAATCCAAATCTTTGCGTTCAGTAAACGCTCTGGTCTCCCCACTTTGCGTTGCCTTTCTTTTCCATGCCCACACGGATCACACACCCACTTGATATGGTTAGATATATATATACACACGCCATTTTGAGTTCTCTCGTTCATTAGTGCCTTCCAGTTTGCTATTTCCGTTTCCTTTTTTCTTAATTTGGCCTTCCTTCCTTCCTTCCTTCTCTGCCGCATAACACAATCTTAGGAATTTAGGGTCTGATTTTGAGTTTTGCCTTCATGGGTCTCACTCTTTCCCGGGTTTTGGCGTCTAGATTCCTGCTTCCCTTTTTTTCCCTTGAGAAAGTTGCTGGTGATCTCTTCCCCAAGCAGTTGGAAAGCATGATGTGCTTGGTCTCCCGCACCGGCAGGCATCTGCAGCGATACGACAAAGGCTGTCGCCAAGTAGTCGGGTGCGTTCGTCTCTCTTTGCTACTTCCTCTTCTTGGTTTCTGGATTTCTGTCCTTCAAATCCCTAATTTGATTTTTTTTTTCAAATGTTTTCTTAATTTGGGTTATTTCTCATGTTGCTAATAATTTGCGTTTCCGAGCGTGGATTTTGCCGTTAATCTGACTTGTTCAATGCCATTTTGAACTTGTGCAGATGCATTCCATACAGATACAGAGAAACTAATGTTGAGGGAACCCGTAAAGAGGAAATTGAGGTTCTTGTGATTAGTGCTCAGAACGGCCATGGAATGCAGTTCCCGAAGGTATTATTGTTTCTCCTCAAGTTGTAAAGCGCATCTTTTCCATGATACTTTGTTTCATGCTTTGAGTCCTTACATGTATGTGTATTGTTTTGCTTCATCAGGGAGGTTGGGAGATTGACGAATCCATGGAACAAGCTGCCAGGAGAGAGACTTTAGAGGAAGCAGGGGTTGTTGGCAATGTCGAAGTTAGTATCTCTATGAACACTTTTTTGGCTCCAGATTCCCAGCAATTAAGCCAATCTTGGTTTCTTACCTTTTATGTCTTGGATATTTTTGCAGAGTAAATTGGGTAAATGGAATTATAAAAGCAAACGCCAATCTACTGTACATGAAGGATATATGTTCCCTTTGCTTGTCAAGAATCAGCTTGAGGATTGGCCAGAGAAGAACATCCGAAAGCGAAGATGGGTAAGCATTCGTATGATTCAACTCCATTCATTATGCCAATTGCAAAGGAGATTTCACACAAATCTTTAAAGATTACAAATTATTTATTGATTGTCTTCATGATGTGGTTTTTCTAAAGTTTCATTGACTTGCATGGTGCAGTTGACTGTGGCTGAAGCAAAAGAAGTTTGTCCACATGCTTGGATGAAGGAAGCTTTAGATATATTGGTCACTAGGCAATCTCAAGTCAAGCGGAAATAGAGGAGAATGTCAAGTTAGATGTACATTGTTTGTATTCTCTCATGTTTGTGCAATTTCCAAGCCATGCAAGCACTGGGATATGACTTATCGGGACAGAAAATTTCAAGTGAGGGAGAGGGAATCAAGGTGCTGAAGTTCATGTTTGCTTAATTTCCTGTTGGTGCTACTGAAAGTGCAGCAATTGGAATACAAGTTTGTAGGGTGTAGTTGAGAGATCTTGCAACGGAAGTCAGCTGTAGATATACTAACTCAATTCATTCTTTCATTCTTTCTTTGTATTCTTCCAATCTGATTCTTTGTGTACAATACTGTCTGGCATCAATCATAACTCCATTCTTCTTCGGCTACCTGGCTTCTATTATGCTTGCTTCTGTTCTTGGCAAAATTCTTCTTTTCATGCTTATGTGAACGCGACAAAATTCAGGGGAGGGGTATATGGGATTTCTTCTAAGCAATTCTAATGGAGACTGTCTGATAAACATGGCTAACTATTTCTTTGGAGGCAAAAGATCTAACAATAGTCATGATGATTCTCTTGACGAGAAAAATAAGTTGATGACAGAACTGGTTTGAGAAAAATCTGCTAACAAATTATCGTTCATAAATCATGAACACGTAGCAGCAGATGAAGGCCTCAAAAGAGGCCAAGTCATGAAGGTTCTACACCAAGCACTGTAAGTTAAATGGAAAAGAGATAAGATATTATCATTAATGGGGTTTCTCTGAGACCATAGATTATCGATCCCCACCTAACCTGAGGAAAAACCAACGAGTACGTCTGATCTACGCTTAAAGGGAAACATGTGAGGTAAGAATGCTTTGGGAAGGCATAGTGGAATGATAAGAATCCCCAGTAAGCAGTACATAGATGATAAGGTTGCATTATTGCTTCATTCTGATTGGATTACTCAAAGCATTGAAAGAGATGTGTGGTGCCATAGATGTTGCAATCAATCATGGTAAGTGCCTTTCAACAAGCCAGTAAACCGGCCTAACGGGCAAAAATGACTTGCAAGTCGGTAAGAATATCGATTCATATCTTATGTGTTTATGAATTTTAATTTCATTGTTAGTTTAAGGACGTTGAGCTTGTTTAGTATTCCAAGTTGATTTTTCAGTCGTGAGGAGCCACTTTAGCTCAGCATGTGATGTTTCGGATGACTTGTGAGAAAATAAGCTTTTAGACCAAAAGTTAAATTGAAACCAGTATTTAACTTCTCTTCAGATTTGAATATTTTAAAATTGAGTTTTTAATATTTTTCTAAATAAGTTTTTTTGTCAAACGAAATAAACCACATTACAATGATAAATATTCAGACAAACTTCAGTATATAAAACTAAAAAAGTGCTTGGGAACTAAGAGAATGCTTTTTAAAAATATTTTTTTTTATAAATCAAGAGAGACTTTTCTATATATTTATTTTGTATATTATAAAATCATTTTTAAAATTATGGTTGCTAAAACAAAAATCACTTTTTACGAGATTGATCACAAAAGCCTTTATTTGCGGACAACAGCACATAGCCAAGGAAAGGTACAAGTGCATAGTGGGAATAGTGTCATGTGGAAAACTGGGAAGAAAAGCGATTGGTGGAAAAGCAGGACATCTAGATTTTCCTCCTTGTGCAGTCAGTCCTTCACATGCTTATGTTCACGTGTACAATTTCTCTCCCAAGGGATCCAAGTACGTCCATTTTTTGCAACTAACTAATATAAGGCCATCAAGTCACCAATCTCTAAAAACCTCAAGTTTTAATTCAAAAGCTCAAAAAAAAAAAAAAAAACATTGCTTCGCATGTGCTCTTCTTTAATTCATATAGACAAGAAGTCAATAATAATTGATTGCGCCACATGTCAAGTTGGGATCCTTTCAATTATGAGAATGATGTTGAATAAATATGCTTTGCATAAATAAATAAAATTTAAGTCAGTATTATTCTAAATATAATTTAATTAAGAGGACCTTGATTTCGATAGTTAAAACGAGTTTCTTTTGAGCCCGAAAATAACATTTTCTAAAATTTAATTATTTTTATTTTTGGAATTTTATTTTGAATGTGTTTGGTTGTTGATCACTTCTTACTCTTCAGCTTTTTGTATCTGTTATAAATTATGACATGTTCCTACTATCATCTATTTGATAATGTGCCCATTGATTTTGATGAAAAAAATTATACGGCAACTGGCTTATTGTTGTTAAAGTAAATTATACACATCTTTATATTTTTATTTAATAAAAAATATAGCAAATTCATTTTGCAATTTTGAAACTTTTCCTTAAATATCACACACTTATCCTGCCTTAAGTAAAATAATTAATACTATTTTAAGTTCTTAATATAAAATCTTGTTTAACTTTTATTTTGATAATAAATATAAGACTTAAATCTACTTTGTCTCCCATACTTATTTATTTATTTTTCAAGATAGTCTTTTTAATAATGGTAGTTCTAGCTACTACCTTCGGTCCTTAATATTAGACCTTATTTGATTTTTATTTTGGTCCTAAATATAAGACCCCAATCTACTTTGTTTCTCATATTTATACATTTTTTTCAAAGTAGCCCTTTTAATAATAATAGTCCTAGTCAATACACTTGATTAGTAAGGATATTTTAGAAAAATAACACCTATTTAGGACAAATAACTAACTCAACTCACTTCTTTAATCTCCTAAGATTAGTTAACTGGTTTTTATAATTAGGACCGGAGGTAGTAATAAACTTAATTAGTAAAAATATTTTAAGAAATACAATATTTATTTATTACAAATAATTAACTGAATTTATTTTTTTAATCTACTCAAATTAATTAACTAGTTTTTATATTTAGGACCTGAGATAGTAGTAAAAATGTAAACAGAATTACATTTAAATAGGGCGAACTCTGGGCTGGAGCCCCGTTTCTCATTTAAAAATGAAAAAAGAAATTAATAGAGTGAGCTCCATGCATTGAGAGTGTGTGTTTTGTGGGATCCCAGAGCCCAACTATCAGGTTTTAATGGGCCTTCGGCCCAAACGATTCCTCAAAAATCAGTTTTTGGTCCATCTTCAAAATTTGAATTGGCCACTGAATTGACTGTACGACGACGATCTCAGAAACAAGAAGGAAATCATTTCCGTTGCCGTTGAGTTCGGCATTGCCTGAATGAACGAAGACGATGGTAGCGAAGAGCGACTACGAGATTCTCAGAAATGCACGCGTCTTAGAGAATCAGGTCTCCATTTCATCATCTCTTTTGCGCGCGACACTATTCTCCTTCTAGCATCTTTCTTATGTAGTAATTTGGTAATTGCAGGCTCGATTAGCCTCTCTGGGTCTTCACAAAACAATCTCTGAGCTTCGAGACGCAAAAACATCTGCTAAATCAAAAACTAAAAGAGCCTGGAATAAAAAGTTTTATGCAGCCGCTCCTTTACGTCGCTCTCAGAGAATCAACACAACCGAACTCAATGGAAACGGCAGCCACCTTCCACTGCGACGATCTCAGCGTTTAAGAGGGAGTAAAACCGACCCTTCGTCCCCCAAAGAAGGTTTTAATTTTTTGTATTTTTCTTTTGGCCTATCTGTGAACATTGAAAGAATAGGAACATTGAAGCTCTAATGATGCTTTTTTTTTTTTTGTGGTGATACACTCTGATTTTTCTCTGTTGCTTGCGATAGAGAAATTATATGCATCTGAAGATGAGGAAGATCGTCTTCCGAGTGATTCAGAAGAGAAGAGACCTGCAAATGCACCGTTGATTAAACTAAGGGGTGTAGAACTTCAACTTTCTGCAGAAGCTTCGGCTGTGCGCTGCAATAGCAAGGGTAGAGGCAGTGTGTACAACCCTGTATTTGGCATATGCTGCCATTTCTGCAGGTGTTCTCTAACCTTTATCACATTACTTTGTAAAACATGACATTCTTAGCAGTTATCAAGCCCACTGCTTAGTAACATTGTAGGTTTCTGCATTTGTTTTGGTGTTATTTTTGGGGTGTTGGGGGCTGCTATTCAGTGGATTGATCTATATTTCCCAATTCTTGTTTCTTTGTGGGTTGCTTCTTCCAAAGTAGGCATATGTGTCATGGGTTTTTCATAATCAGCCATTGTACACACGATGTAAGGGTCACAACTCACAGTCACAAATGATGTGGTTCAATTACAAAATATACTGTCGTGAAATGGAAATGTCGCATAGTGCATTTAGCTCCTTCTGCTATGCCATTAACCCATAACAGTTTAACTTGGAATGAGGACAATGCAATGGAAATGCACGCAGGCAAAAGAAATTATGTGGTGAAGAAGACTGCAAAAGATGTGGCTATTTTGATGTAAATGAGCCGTGCCTAGGTTAGATTTAGAATTGCGACTTCTTTTGCATTCTATATTAACTCCTCATTTCTTAAACACTTACCATGCATATTTTAAGCAGGAAAGACTGATTGTTCTGCATGCCACTCTAGTACCGGTGTTTTCTGCAGAGCATGCCTCAAGGTTCGCTATGGTGAAGGTGAGTAGCAAGTGGCTTAGCTAAACATGTAAATGAGGGGAGCAAATTAAGAATATATCGGAATAATAATACTGGTGTCATATTTATTTATTTATTTATTTATCTGGTGGCCCCAATTTATGTGAAAATTCATCTTACCTTTTCCACTTATGTAGCTATAACAGCTATAGAGGTTTAGTTTAATGCTAAGAATAGTGCTACATTTTCCCTACGCTGTAGAAGTAAAATATCTGATATCCTAAACCCTGTGTCTAAGTTAAATAAGCTTTACTCAGATTGTGGTATCATAGTTTACGAACTCTATTATGCTTTGAAAGAATTGAACTCTTCCAAAATAATGCCATATCATGGATATGAAACTGTCTTTTATCTTTTACTCTCAACGTTAGAATTGGAGGAAGTGAGAGAGAACAAACAATGGATGTGCCCTCATTGCATAGAAGCTAAAGGAATTAACCCTTACTGGATATGCAACAGGTATGCCTTCTAAATTTTAACCTCCACATGTAGTTATTTTAAGTTGGATGTTGTCCGTACTAATGCATTCTTGTTTATGTTGAATTTTTGTTTATAGCTCACTATGCCTGAAGAAACGCAACATAGCTCCAACTGGAATTGCAATATTCAGAGGTTAGTTCTTCTGTTTTTGATTTTATGCTTACCATTACTTTCTATTGCCTTATGTAATAGTGTCTTTGTATTGTTTTTGACATTCTTTGGGTATTTTCCCCCTTGGATTGGTTGAAATATAGCTCGCCAAATGGGATATGAATCAGTGGCGCATTTTCTTATGGATGAACTCAAAAGAAAAGATCCAAAAAGATGCAAAACTTGAAGGATACGCGTGTAATGTGAGATCAAGGTTTGATAGGGATTTTAATTGGCAACTAATTCCTAATGATGGTGACTTTTTATATTAGTCTTCCATAAGTTGTCTTGATTTTTTTTTTTTTTGTGGTCTTAACAATTCACTCGCAAGCACTCAGAGTACACACAACCGGCAAAAAACCATTTTTAAACGCCAAATTACTTAAAAATAAGTTAATTCAGACACCCTTTGACTGCGTTCTCTTAATTTAAGTCGAGCCAAAAGCTTGGAAGAAAAGGAGAAGCCGAAGACGGACTAACGGGCCAGACTAGTGTACTTGGACTAAATGGCAGTCAGGCCTAGCCCTTGACGGTGAAAGTTGAAACTGATTTCTTGATTATACTATTTGTATTGAATCATCATAATTACATAATTTCATTTGAAAGAAAGTCTGATACAGCTTTTATCAACAAAAAAGAAAGAAAGAAAGAAAGAAAGTCTCATGTAGAAATTAATAGAATAGAGTGATCTGTAAAGTTTATAAGAGATCATATTGATAAAAAATTATAAATGATTTCTTTTAAAAGTTCCATAGAATTCGTTCTAGCCTCTTAATCTAGAAAATAATCCTTACAGCTTACATTTATTTCCTATACATATGCTCTTATTTTATTATAAAAATCTCACCCTCAAGCCTATTTGACTTTCTAGGTCACCTATCCCAGCACAAACACAAGACACACACACACACACACATTAATTTTAACAAAAAGAAAATATATATAATATGGGCTGACAGTTCACTCCTAATGGCCAGATGATAATTTTAACAAATCAGAACGAAGGTGCAAGAATCCTAATTTCTTTTAAAGAAAAAACAACAAGGTTAGTACGTTATCATGCTAGTAATTCTAGGGAGTTTGTTACAACAGGCTATGGTAATTGAATCTGTATTTGATTTAAGAGGTGTTTTAAAAAAGTACTTTTACGATAAAATTTGTTTTTTTTTTGTATACTTACATTTTATATCATAAAATTACTTACAACCAACTCATCCAAACACCTCTTAGAAGGATGGAAAAAGGTTCTTTGCCTGTGAAAGTGTGACATGTGTGGCAGACATTGAGACAAAATTCCATTGGAATTCACCATTTGAACAAATGGGAGGTCACTGATTGGTTGGATACATATATAACAAAATGATACTTACAGCAAATGAATAAAGATCGAAGATTCACCAATAATTTTTAGAGTAAAAGCTTCAACGAATAATGAATGGTATTTATATATCGAAGAGGTTTTTGTTTCTTTTAGGGGGTGTTTGGAACACTTCAAAAGTGCTTTTAAAAAATATTTTTCTGCAAATTGATATAAACTTATTCATATATTTATTTCATATATCGTAAAATTACTTTTAAAATTATGATTTAGTTTTCACTTAAATGCCTTTTTAATTAAATAAGGGCATTTCGGTCATTGAGCCATTAAACTTAATTTTAAACGATGCTTTTATGGCCCAAGTGATGTTTCAAAAATTTATAGGCCCTAAATGACACTTTCTTACTTCCAAGAGTCCTGGATGCAATCCTCGGCTCGTGGCCATTTTAAGATTTCAAACATATATATTCATATATGAATCACTTTGGTTGGAGAAAACTACTAACACATAAAAAGTTAAACTTTATTCTCAGCAATGAGGTGTAATGACATTTACAACAAACCAAAAATTAATGATGACCAATAATCTTCAGAGCAACTTCTGAATAAAGAGTGATTTTTATATACTGAAATATTGGAAACAGAAGATCACACTTAGAAATAAAACACTGCAAATTTCATTGGGGGGGAAAACAAGAAGAAGAAAAGAAAGCCAGCTAACGATAGCTACAATGAGAGAGCACCAATTACAGCTGCGACGGCGAAGGCTGATGATAGATCATCGGATTTTGGACTTCTGGGCTCAGCCATTTCATCGGAAGGGCTTTGGGTTTTGATTTGGTTGTGAAAATAAACAGCACAAGTAAATAAAACGCCGGCCAAAGGAGTATTATTATAATAATAATAATAATAATCCTTTTGGCTGCGTTTCTCCGGTAATATAAGTAATCCTCCCTTTCTCAATTTTACATTCCGTACGTATTCCTCCATAGTCTTCCCTCTCACCAATTGCATCCTTCTCACTGTGAGAGAGCTGAAAAAATGCCAACTTAAACTGGAAAAGGAAGCCTCATAGGGAGTTTTTACTTGTTCTTCATAAGGAATTGTTCTCATTTTTAACTCATTAGTAAATTTTTGAGCAGACAAAATATGCCCCATTTGTTTCCAAATATAACCAAATTTTCTTCTTGTATCATTTGAAGAGCGGTCCCTTGATGAATAGTATAGAAATTCCTTGATATACGAATCAAAGCTGTTACCAAATATGACAACATTACGTAATAGGTTTGGTTCCCAATTTGCTTTTAAGAGGTTGTTGTATAAACTCAGATCGCAGTGTGGCATGAAGAACATAGTTGGTTTCATGGCTTGCCTCCTTCCATCTTCGTTGCAGTAAAAGACAGAGCAATCAAGAAATTCCAAGACTTTGATTTCAGTACTTGAAAGGATAGGATCAAATACTTCTACCTCCCCAATCCAAATGAAATCTCTTTTCATCAGTATTGCAAGACTAAGCTGTAATATAGAAGTCATGTATTCCGAAATACTGCCAATGCCATAAATTATCATTTGCATTTTTGATTCTGATGCCAAAACCTTTTGTATATGTTTAGAAATTGGTGAACTTTGTACCTCCTTCCGAAAGTCATGATAAAATTGCGAGGTCTCAAGTTCACTTATATTATCTTCCATTATGCGCCTCAACGCTTGTACTCTATCATCATCAATTCGTTCATCTGTTGGATGCCATTTTGTGCCGGTTATTGTTGATGTTGTCATTTATCCTTGATTTGATTTGTTTGAGTTGTTCCCAGCTAAAAGAATAAACAAAAGTGATGAAACATATTTATATGCTATTACCTCCAGTCTTTAATATAAAAGCTAGTTGATTAATTTGAAAAAGTTAATAAAACTAGTTAAGTTAGTTATTTGTAATAAATATGTGTTGTCTTTCCTAAAATATTTTTACTAATCAAGTGTATTGGCCTAAAACTATTATTATTATAAAGACTACTTAAAAAAAAAAAGAATAAATGTGAGAGATAAATTATATTGAAATCTTATATTTATGATTAAAATAAAAGTCAAACAAGTTTTTATATTTAAGAATGGAGGTAATATATCATAAGAAACAAGCAATTACAAATTACTTATCTTAATAATATTCATTAACACCTCATTTCAAAATAACAGAAAAATATATTTGTGAAGCCAAATATCGAATATAGTAAACATTCATCCATGGTCTTTAATTTTACAGGCTGTGTGCAGTTATGACAATTGTTGTGATAAAAGAAATCCAAGTGTACGTAGTCTTACTTTTGGGAAAAAAATTAATGTTTTTAGAAAATTTTAATAAAAGCAACATATATGTGCGTATGAATAAGTAAATAATTACCTTGACTTTTATTTGGAAAGTTTGGTCAAGTTGAAACACAGCAAATCCAAGCTTCTTCAGATGAGAATATCAAGTATGAGACAATCTGAAACAGTATTCAGGTTAAAATCAGGAGACAATATTTTGAGTAACTTATTAATTTATATACATGAGTTGAATTTAAATCCATTTAAGTCTTTATCATATATTTAGGATATCAAATAATAGATTAAATTCTAATTTAATTCACAAATATGATTTAAATTTAAACTTATTGAATTAAATCTTATAATTTTGAGATTATTCAAATAATATAAATTAAATCTCTTATTTGACTTATATTATATTTAATTAGGTAAATAAATTTGTTAAATATCTTGGCCTATCAAGGGCCAATCTAAAATCTAACAAACAATTTACAAGAAATTAGATTATAGTTGAAGATAATGAAGAATTCCAACATATATGATTGGTTATATCCTATATAAATATATATATATATATATATATATATAAAACCAACATAGATGGTAATTGTTGTTGAATTTGATTTTTTTTTTGTTTTTTGTTTATGGCGCTTGATGTTGGAAACATATAAGGGGAACGTGTTTTTAACTGCTGGAAATTATGATAGGTGAAGCAGACCTTTACGCTATGTTTGGCTCGACGGAGGGAAGGGGAGGGGAGGGATTTTAATCAAGGGAAAGGGAGGGGAGGAAAGGGGAGGGTAGCTATAAAGGGGAGGGGAGGGAGGGATTTTAATGATCTCCTGTTTGGATTGATTGGAAGGGAGGGGAGGGAGCAATTTTAATAATACCTTATTTTGTTCTAAAAAATTGACTATTTTAGCCTCATAAAATTTAAATGAATTTTCTCACTTTTTATTTTGTTAAGATATAACTATATATATATATAATAAAATTCACTAATTTTGATTTACAAGATACAGTCACACACTTATAGAATATCAAGACAAAAAGTCACAAGTGATAGATTTCAATCAAAGAAAAGACCTTGAAGGTGAAAGAAAATACTAACGGCCTCTTAGAATTAGAAGAAGAGAAAAAAAGTTTACAAATGCTCACTAATTTTGGAGATAATTATCTTAATAACCTCTTATTAGATGCTCAAAAGAACTCTCTTATGTAGAAATGTTTATGACTGATTAGAGGTTAACAAATCGAAAGGGCATATAAGGAATTAAAATATCATTTCTCACCTCCCCTCCAAAAAACCCCACTTTTGGAGGGGAGGCTAGAAGGGAAGGGGAGGGGAGAAGAACCCCTTCCCTCTTTAAAAAACATCTTAACCAAACGAGGGGAGGGGAGGAGCTCCCCTCCCCTCCTAAAAAATTATACCAGCCGAACAAGGGGAGGGGAGCAACTTCTCTCCCCTCCCCTCCGAAAACCCCGTACCAAACATAGCGTTAGATGAACCATGATTATTTATCTCATGGCTAACACACATTTGTTATGAAATTAATTTAATTAATTTTTTTAATATTTAGAAATTAGTTGTCTACCTATTACATTTAAAA